TGATTTTCCATAAAAGTTATACGTTATAAAACTTAATATTTTTATGGAATTTTTATATCAAATTTTTTATTGGGTATGCGAATCTGAAATTTTTTTCTTTTTGCGATCTACCATTTTGGATGTTGTAGTCATACCAATATTTACCATTGTATTCAAGCCTTCATTACTTGTACCTATCGAATCTAAATCGAATGCGAGGTCAAATTTAAAGGAATTGATTTTAGTATTATTTAGCGAAGCAAGGAGGTAACATATGAATACTATTAATTTCTTCATATGGTCTATTATTTGCTTGTTACATTTGAGTGGTCGAGCTGCTAAATAAAGTTGATCAAAAAAATCCTTCAAGCTCAGCTCAATCCCTTGAAGCAAACTTCGCATTTCATCAAATTCATAGATCAGACCTTCTTTCTTCAAATATTCTCTATTATAAAAGATTTTTGCCATTACTTTGATGGCTCTAGTAAGCTCAATCTTTATATTTACCCCTTCTTTAACTGTGGCTTCTTCATTTGTAGCTTCTTCATCCATAGCTTCTTCTTCAACCATAGCCTTTCTCTTAGATTTTTTTAAAGGATTTTCTACCAAATTCATATAGCAAATATTACATAAAATAACACCTTCTGTTCACGTTAACTTTACTAAGTTGTTTAGTTCAGCTTCTTTCCATTTATTTCCTTTCAACAGACGGAATCTTGTTGACTCAGTTGTTTTACATTCCATACAACGCTTCTGTTCAGATATATTTTTGCTAGGTTAATTCGTACTATAAAAGTTGTTAGATTCAAGTGGATTCAACAGTTATTATTACAACACAGTGTTAAAGCTTCAAGTTTGCCTATTTTATTTACCCACAATTCATTGCAAGAATTGCCTAATGTAAGACCTCTGAAACCATATTTTAAACTGTATAAAAAAATTTTTTAATAAGTTATATAACCATTGCCTTATATGGGACAGTCACACCTGAATATCAGATGTTACAGATTATTTTAAGTCAGATAATGAATCTGACTCTGATGTCAATAAATCTAAATCTGATATATATTTCAAATCTGATGAGTATGATCACGAACTTCATGAAAGGCTCACGTGTGAAGAAATGACAAGAATAATGAAATTAGTAGATAAAACACCAACTAAGCCTAAAGAGCAGTCACAAAGTTATCCCAAGTAAATGATGATGATTTTGATAAAATACTCATAGAAATCACGAGAACTATAATATATATTTTGATGATCTCATATCTCAGTCAGTAATGAGTTTTACCATCTCTCTAGTAACTGCCTAAGAGTAATATTGGGAGAATCGTACATTCGCATAGACTGAATCGTTATATAGGCTATTTTGATTATTTTCTGTCATTATTCCTAATAGGATATAAAAAATTAAGGAGTTCATTTGTTTAGCATTCAAAAGTTTCGATCTTCTATATCTACAGGTATAAGTAATTGCATCACAGGCATAATCTGCCAGAAAATATTCATTTAATAATTATCAAGATCCCAACCTTTTACAGGATCGGCTAACGTATCCAAAAGTGCATTATATTCTTTTATCCTAAATGTATTAGACCTAGAAAATGCGTTGAATAATCTATTTTTTTCTCGATCAGATATATCTGAAAGACGTCTGGTAAATTCTATGAATACAATATTCTGATATCGAGCTTTTCAGACTTGATAAAGTTTTTAAAGCATCTTTACCAAAACGTCTTCTATAATTCCATCCAGTATATGTTTCCTAGGGTCCCAATAATTGTCCTGATCATCATCCCAGAATAGTGATCACCAGCTCAAAGAACCTTTTTAGTTGATCGGGTTTATATGTGTTTATTTTTTCAGCTGAATCGAGATTAACAAATTAATAGATATCAGAGTTATTATATTTGTTCCATGATTTGTGATGATCAAAGCTTTAATTACGGAAGAATTTTTATTATATACATGCTTTTTTTCTCACTATAGTTTAAAAAAAAAGCAATTAAGATAGGCTATCTTCTGAATGTCTTTACCAAGGAGTGTATATTTGTCTTAGTACTTCTAATAAGATATAATATTTATCTGAAAGTGATAGTTCTACAGTATTCGCATTATGCAAAATTAATCTACAATTTGTCAATTAACTTCTAATCCATAATGTAATATAGTAAATTTTCCTAACTGTCAAAGCTATTTTGGCTTCCTGTGATCCAAATACTTTACACCTTAGCTTGTTTTAAAGCTCTTGGTTCTTTGCATCTAGTTGAATTAATTTGGAATTTCTACAATATATGGACTACGTTTAGTAAGCGGTTGATGTTTCAATCCTTATATAGTACTAATAATACATTTTGAAATTCACTGGGTAGCTATGAATTCTTACATAATAATCTACTAATTTCTAACCTCCTTTAGGTTTTCAGAACCAAAAACTAGTATTTTTTAGGTTGCCAGGTCACCAGCATTTCACACCCCACTTTGGCAATATTGCCTCCACAAGATTCTTTCGTAGTTATATCCAAAATAATTAACCTTACGATTTTTTGAATAACTACGCATCCAGTGATTAGAATTTCACGAAATTTGATTTAGTAAATATTCAGAACCTGCTAAATCCTAACGTTCAATCCTTATTAAAATTGGATCATTGGTTAATGAGCTATTCGCGTTCCAAATTTGTTATGGCAAATTGGTCTTTATGACAATTCCCTCCTTCGGTCAAGACCTTCAGGAGATAGTTTAACTTAATTACCTAATCTGATATGTTTTCTTTTTTTGAACTATAGTGAGAAAAAAGGGAGGGTGTTAATATTTTTTGACTTTATTGATTGATTAGAGGCCTGTATATTAATACAGCTTAATTTTAGAATCAGGATCAGCAAATTAATAGATAGGATTACCATTTTTGTTCTAGAAAGAGAAGTTATAGTGTCAACATAAATAATGCATAGTAATATTATGGTAATCGTTACATATATCACAGAAACAAGCAACTGCGCATAATAATTTATTCTCAAACTTTCTCGCATATTCTCAAAATTATGTATAGCCCCTTGATGATCTTTACATATAAATAGCGTTAAATTAAGAAGAAGCTGTTGATCAGATTTTCATGATACAATCATATTAATGTAATTTTTCCCTAAGCGTACTCCAAGATCGATCTTGCAAATTATATAAAAAGGTAATGTCCTGTTAGTAAATCCTTTTATCTGTCTTATGCAAGTAAAATTAAAATCAAGCAAAAAAAAATTTCAAATCAATCAAGTTTATCATTATTAAAATTATTGATATTAACAATCAAAAGAACTTGCATTTTCTACAAAGTCATAATAAAGTAAGTTAGTTTATTGCTTAGCTAGCTTCTTGAAAATTTTGATTACATGAAGGGAACCTTGAAGTTGAGGAAAAGGAGCATCTTCGATACAATAGTGACCTAAATATTATCAGCAAGTATGCCAGTGTGTAGGTCTGTCATTGACTACCTTGTTGGTTTTGTACTTGCATTAGAAAAGGTTTCGTACTTGTTGTTGAGAGGCCTGTACCATCGTCAACTACTGTGCTAGTTTCGTACTAGGATTAGAAAAGGTTTCGTACTTGTTGGCAAGCATACCATAAATTGCGGTATATTAGTATGCAAATTATTTGCATTATTACTGACTACCATGCTGGTTTCGTACTGGCAGTGGAAAAGGTTTTATACTTATTGGTAAGTACACCGTAATGATGTGCTACAGAATTCTAAAAGCGAACTTTATAATCTTAAGAATGACAAAAGCTCGAATCAAATAAATCATTTTTGGGATCTGCAAGTTAAGAGACATAATGTTAAAATGGAGATTAAGTTACTTGAAGCAAAGAACAAGTTACTTATGAAAGAGCAAGTAAGTTATCTTATGATATTTTGAGTTTAGTGACTGTTTTGATAATATTTTCTAATAATCTGCAAACGATTTTATGAAAGACGAAATGAAAATCCATATCTACAGAGGGTGATCACGAGTTTCCGAACAATTTAAAAAATCGTTTACATTTATTTATTTATGTTAATAATTTTTTTAGAATAAATGAATATATATTTGTCC